ATGTTGCTAAATCCACCGCGGAGAATAAACAGAAGGGCAACCAGGCAACCATGGCAACCATGCTCGGGGGTCTTCTTCGCTGCTTTTGGTGTATTTTGTGGCGGAAGTACAGCGCCACTTACTGGCCCGGCATATGTACTACAGCGTCACCAGCGAGCGGGTCGAGCGGTCTCATGTGAAGGGACACGTTTATTGAGCCGTATCCATGTGAACGGAAGACTTTTTTGATATCGAATTCGGTTCGTTTGCGTTTCGTTTGCGTTCCCGTGTAAATGGGGCCTTAGTTATTTATATTTTGCAAGCTTATGAAGAAAGAATGCAATAAACAATAACATAGTTGAATATCGTGATCATGATATTAATTGGGATAGATAAAGAAAACACTGACAACATGCATTGCTTTAAGGTCACTTTGCTGACTGTCTTTCCAGCATCACTCAAATATGAGCTTCAATTTTAAGTAGAACAGAACAAGTTTTAATTATTTTATTGAACAATTATTTGTTTAATTGAAGAACGAAAACAGGAATGTTGAGTTAAATATGACTCATCCCCCCTAACCCCACTCATTAAAAAATGAACAAAAATGCACCACCCATCCAAAAATCCCCACAAAGTCCCATTCAAAATGTTAAATGAAAGATGTGGCTTCATTTGTCTTGTGCTTTGGGCTCAAAAGTGTGATCCAGTCTTCTCGAAATCATCTGTGCATGTGATGGAGGAATGCACAGTGCCTGTAGGGGGTGTGGTCTCAATAGCCATGCAGTAAGCAGTGTGCTATGGCATTGATATTCATGTGTACTTGAATGGCATCTGTTTGTTTTAGTCAAGATTATGCTAAAATATACTTTCCCCAACTATATTTCAGTTCCCTATGAAGAGCCAACCTTCAATTTAGAAAATTCCCAGTTTATTCCCATAAATTCCCGTTTATTCCCGTGGAAAGTTTCCATCTTTGAAAATTCCCGGAATTTTGCAACCCTAACCCCACCCAAAGCTGTTTACTCATAAATAACATTTGCCTGTGCCTTTTGAAAAATCAGACATGCACTAATCCTTCCAGCAGACACAATATTTAGCTCTGTGTGAAGGCGACTGTGGGATGCTCTTATGGGTGTCATGCTGCTTTGCCTCCAGCCAGTGGATTCACCATGCTGCACAGCACACTGACTGCTCATGTTATCTGCTTCAATGGACTGCATTGTTGTTGCTCTGTGAAGAGGACGTCCTCTCTCCCATGATGACTAAGAAAGGGAGGTGCTTTTATAGGAGTTCTCTGCGGTTACAATAAAAATACACAATATCTTTGAGTTCTCTCCTCTCTTCACTAAACGCCCCAAAAAGGTGTGGCAGTCGGCAGCAGCATGCCAGGAATTTCTCAGTGGGGATTGTGTTGCAATGCAGAAAGAAAAGTCTGCAGCCTTAATAACACCAAACCATATTTTGTAATATTTTGTATATTGTGTCTGATGGGAGGAATAGTGCAAGTCAGATTTTTCAAAAGGCACAGGTAAACCTTATTTATGAGTAAACACCTTTGGGTGGGGTTTTCATCCAAATTGCATATTTAAGTGAAGTTGGACAGTGTCAGGAAAGGGACCTATAAGGAATAGGCCCTTAATGCCTTTTAGTAATGGATGCTGCCATCATTGATTAATGTATTGTTTTTTTCCACATTCGTTTTTGTGTGAACAGCTTACTTTTGAAAGATTTCTACTCTTGGTCATGGACAGATAATACCTCTTGCCTGCTCTGTCTTGTGAGCAAACACCACATTAAACAAGCTTAACTGTACAGTACTGTCTATAATTACCCGTGCATAATCTTAGCAACTGCTACTTAAGGGTTACATCGATGTTGGCTAACTAACCTGGCAGGACTTCAATTGTCAATGTGGCTAGGCTATTAACAACTATTAACCGTTTATGAATTTATTATAGCTCAACAACTAGCTAACTAGTTGAAGCACATGCCTGTAGACAATCTTTTCCCTACTTATCGGCTGTGGCTAATAGTCTGTGTGTCAGTGTGTACTCAGATAAAAACATTAAAATGCTAATGCGTATCCGTTGTAAGCTGTTGGAAGAAACGAGTGTTCCAAAAACAAGCGTTGTAGCACATTTTAAAGGTGTAAGTTAGTTTATATAAAACGTATCTACTCGCTTTAGCTGCAGGTTTATGTTGTAATGTTACCTTTGGTGTCTTCAAACGGCTTCAACACAATATCAAGAGTCGAGGAACGGCAGAAGCGTGACTTTTAAAACTGTATGGCATGAAAACAACTATGATAACTTTTTTCCACCGTGAACTCACACACTTCCGCGTTCAGCCTGCGCAACGTCGTCTGGGAAATGAAGTCTTTATGGGATTTCCTGCTTCTGCTTACGTTTGTCTAAGAACTACGTTACCCAATGTGCCCGGCCCTACTGTTAGATGCGGAATACGTAACTACCACGACGCTGAAGTTGGCTTCCGATTCGGCAGTTAAGGGGAAAGTTAAGGGAAATATAATTTACAGCGCTGAGCGAACAATCCTCCGTGTTTGAACCTCTTAAATCGCTGCATAGCCGATTTATTTGGACTGGATTATCCCAGAGAGTCTAAACATTCTTTATAACACAGTTTTAGATTTGTGAAACCTTAATTATATTTGTGAAAATTAAAAAAAGGGAGATTTCAGTGCTTCTTTCGCATCTAGACCACATTAGACCAGGTCCTGATCTAAAACCACTATACCTAGACTCATCAAATCTGGACTGGATTATCCCAGAGGGTCTAAAGATTCTTTATAACACAGTTTGAGATTTGTGAAACCTTTATTCTATTTGTGAAAATACAAAAAAGGGAGATTTTTCCGTTAAGAAATGTCCCTTAACTTTCCCCTTAACTGCCGAATCGGAAGCTCTGAATCGGAAGCCAACTTCAGCGTCGTTGCCCACGAGTGTTTTGCGTGTATACAAATCATATCTAAAATATTGACATTGTAGCTTAGCAACATGATTTTGTTTGAGGGATGGGCATAACATGTTCATGTTTAGCAAACTGTGTCCAGTGTGTGGGATTGTTACGCCCTCTAATGGTTTAATTTTTATAGTGTGGAGTCTATTTTTATATAACATTTCAAGACTGATTCTTATTATTACATTATTTGCTTATTGTGCTTATGAGATGAGTCCTTGGCCAAGTGATATATATTTTGCTCTCTTTTAATAAATAGTTGAATTTAGAAGTTGTTTGTCTTTCCTGGAATAAAAGAACACGACAATAGACAATAACACCACTAAGATGCAGCACCCACACGTCTATCAACTACTGTAAGTACTCAGATTATTTAAAAGTAGCACTACTACAGTGTTAAACAGTATAAGCATTAACACATGCTTTAAAGTCCAAACGCAAAATTCCTCGTTATGCAAAATGGCCATTTAGGCAACATATATTTTTTAATCATTTTATTACAATTATTGGTGCATTTATGTGTTCATCACTTACATTTTGCACTTGGTGGAGTTTATTTGAAATACTTGATGCACTAGCTTAACCTATAATACTATATTATAATGTATATCATATATTACATTTGCAAAGTAACTAGTAACTAAATATGTAAAACAAATGTAGTGGACTAAAAATTACATTTGTCCACAAAATGTAGTGGAGTAAAAGCATAAAGTGACATGATGTGAAAATACTCAATTAAAGAACAAGTACCTACCGTTTTACTTAAGTAGAGTGTTGAGTAAATGTACAGTTACATTACAGCACTGATGGTTACACACTGTAAAGGCACCTAAATGAACAGAAAAATAGGCCGTTTTGATTCACTTAACAGCAGGATAGATTGTATTTGTTAGATTACAAAATCTGAAACTTTTGAACATTAACAAACAGAATTTCCGTGTACACTGAAATGTAAAGCATTTTAAATGGCAGTGGGTTCGTTTTGCATTCATAACTCAAATTTCCAATCAAAGAATTCCTGATTGAAGAACATTTTGCTTAACATACAAGATCATATCTAGTTTTTAAAATTCACAGAAAATTAAAAGTCATTCTGTAACATTACATAATGTAAATAAAACTCAAGCACAAATGATATGAAAAATGACAATAGGTGTAAAGAAATACATAGAAAGAAAATTGGAAGTACTTATAATTGTAATTGAGTAGTGCTTTCCCATTTTTGGAGCTCAATCTACAATTGCAGCTACATTATAAATTAAGTGTTTCACTCAACTAGTAAAAGGCAGTATTTTCAGAATACAATACAGTAACAGAGTTAAAGTAAAAGATATTTCAAATACATTTGTCTAAATGTTTTTCCCTCAAAAAGTAACCTCTATAAAGACATAATAAAGAAAAGATGGCCACTATTTGAATGATTTGGAGAAAAACTGGTTGGAAAGACTTATTCATATTGAAAAGGCAACAGTGTGGATGTGAGTCAATAGCTATTTTAGTATTTTCTTCTTCAGGTTTTAAGGCTATAAAAATTGTACCCTAACATGGAAAACATCTTAATCCAGAAACAGTTTTTCCATTACACCCCTGAGAATGAACATAATGTGGAAACACAGCTGAAAAGCTAAAATCTTTTTGTAACGAAGATCCAACTCTATTAATACTTGCCCCTCAGTTTTAAAACCTCTGAGTATATCTTTGTCCGGCCTTTTCCATTGAGGATTACACTCTCAAGTATTTGTCCAGGTTTTCATTGTATGGTGGTCAATTTAGCTTTTGCATCATAAGTGCCTGAACTAAAGTCATGTGATTCATTAGTCTTGTTAGTCCAACAAAAGGTGGATCTATATTTTGTATCTAACTAAAAATCAAGAATAAGGGCAGTGTCAACGTCTCAGGAAGAAGAAGTGATATTCCTAACATCATCACTCCATCCATTATCGATTAAGATTCTAAAACATTAATCTCAATTTATGTTGCTTTGTTGGAGTTTACGATGGATTTAAGCATCAGCTCTGACTGTTAAAAGGGATTTTTGATTAATAAACCCCGCCTGCCAGGTCCAGCAGCGACCCAGCAGCCTCCTGGGCCTCTGCGTCCAGCTGGAGGATCTCCACGGTCTCCAGGTCCAGCTCTGTGTCGCCGGGCAGCACCAGGTACTGGTACTGGTGAGACTCGTAGTAATGTAACTCGATGTAACCGCTGTCTGACAGGGGGTCCTTCTCCATGTCCTCGCTGACATCGCCCTGCTGATGGTATTCAACCGACTCCATGGTGACGAGCTCCTCGTGATCCGGGGTCAAAGGGCACGGTGGGTTTTCAGAGAAAGGTGTGTTATCAGCGGCCATGATTTGGGTTGATGGCGAGGAGAGGAGAAGGGCGTGAGAGAGAGGATCTGCATGAATGAAAAACAATGCATGAAGCAGAATATGAGTCAGAAAGAAGCACTACAGCCAGACGTTATAGAAAACAGAAGCCACACAGAGAATACATTTCCTGTTTCTGTGTCACTTTTTGTATCGGCCGCACACCCTTTAGGAGACTGATCTGGTGGAGTCCATTACCTCCAATGGAAAATATTTAACAGATTATAAACAACCTTTTCGCCACAAAATCAAAGTAAATTTTGAACCCAATAAAATTACATTTTCAGATGAACAAATCAGAAGAAATTACATTTGTTCGAGACATACTTGTCTGTTAGTCTGCCTCAGTAACACACTCTTGTGAGATCTGGCAACTCAGAACATTACCGCTAGTCAAACTGTGTCAAAATGTGAAGCTAAAATCAACTAACGCTATAAAAACTATCTTTACTTTTAGGACGGCTATGCTGTAGTTAAGAGGAAAAATATGTATTTCAAATTTTTGGTGAACTGTCCATTCATTAGAAAAATCCTTTTCCTGGTCAAACAAACACTAGTCAGACTCTTCAGTGGGTACGTTGGCCCATATAGCACATAGGCTAGGAAATAAAAACGGGGGGCACATAAAGGAAACTAAGCTATTGATGGGTTGCTAAGGTAATAAAAGGTTGTTGCCATGACAACGTAACACAAACACAGGAACAATGTTGCATGCTGTGAATTCTTCAGAGAGGGAGAAAAGCTGCATGTAATAAAAGTGTCTCAGAGAGATGTTCCTGCATTCAAGAAACATTGCAGAAGAATACAAATTCATAGAAGGTTAAATATGTAAGTTTAGGGCTAATTAAGAGACATGAGCCTGCTGTGAGTGTCCTCTCCACTGACCTGACATTTCCATAGAGTCGCACACTGCAGGAACCCCAAACTCTGCTCCCTCCAGCCTGCACACAACACGGAGAGAAAGTTAGACAACTACATGTGTTTGTTTTTGTTTGTTTGCAGTAAAGAGTCATTCAAATGTGAAATTAAGATGAAACATCTCGAGTCATGTCATTAAAAACAATATCACTGAAGTAATGTTTTGGGGTTCTTATCTTATGATTTTCCCTCCAATTGTTAAATCTAACAAAATATCTTTAAAACAAAAAAGAGTGAAAGATTGCAACTTTTAAGTCTCGAAATTCAATTTTTCGTCAATTGTATAGCCCAAAAAATCTCAAGATATTCTATAAAAAAATTAATAAATGTGAGAACAGAACAATTCGTAGATTTGCGAAATCGAAGAATATATTTTTTCATCAAATAATTTAAAAAAAACAAAAAACTGAACAAATCCAATACTTAGTAAAGTTACGACGCTTACCTAAATGTACCACAGGTGCATGAAGCTGGTTGCATTTGATGTATTGAATACTATATACTATACTTAAAGGTGGGGTAGGTAATTTTGGAGAAACCAGCTCGAGATCGCTAGAATTTGAAAATACACAGCCGGAAAAAATCTGCCACTTCCTCCCTCCTCCAACACACACGAACGCGCACATGACCAATGAGGGCACGAGATAAGTTTGTGCACAGATGGAAGGCTGACAGGCAGGTAGGCCATCCAGTTATTTTAGCCGGGCCGGCTAAAATGATTGGTCGTGCTTTTTACAGTATTACGGCTTCCACAGATGACATTTTTTTATGTATTTTTTGTCAAAGCACTTAAGATATTCATTGCTATCGGGATGTTAAGAGCATTCCATGGAATATAACAAAAAGTGTATCTGGAGCCGGTTTCTCAAACTTACCTACCCCACCTTTAATAGAGTTTTATTAGCTTTGAATTTGTGGAACTAAAGATGTTTTTTTTAAAACTCAGAATGAAAAATAATGATTGTTGTACAAACTCTGTGATTATGTACTCACAATGCAGGCTTGTTTAACAGATTGATGTTGGTGCTGTGATAACTGTGGGTCTTCCTCAGCACCTCGAGGAGCGCCGGCCGGTACTCTGGACACACACACCACAGCGACCCCTTCCCCACTGACTGAATCAAACATAGAAAAACACATTTGAAACATTCAAACTGCTGCAGCCCATGCAAAGACGCTGACCAAAACAACCTCAACACATGTGGAGAACATCATAGAAATGATAGAAAAGGGCAGTTTAGTTGCTGACTCGACTACAGATCAGCACATCTGGCTTCAAAGTGTTGTTCAAGGACATTTTGGTTGCTCCTAATGCTGTAAACACAAGACCTCATAAGACATATCTGAATAAAGTCATTCATGATGTTATCCTCTCAAGACTTGACTACTGTAACTCCCTCCTTTCTGGCCTTAAACAAAAGTCACTCTTATGCCTCCAGCTGGTTCAGGATGCAGCAGCTCAGCATGCCAATCCTGGCTTCTCAATATTGACTCCCTGATGGTTTGGGAATTGTAAGAATTTACTGATCTAACCCAATGGCTACATACTGTAAATGTTGACCTCATATGAACCCGTTTTCAGTCTTAGATCCTCTGACCTGAATCTAATGGTGACCTGCTTTTTTGATCAGGTCCCCTGCCTAAAGAGATTAGGCTCGCAGAACCAGTAATCACTATTGAATTCATTCTTAAAACCTGTAGACATGCTTTTGTTCTTTGCATCCATTGTATTTACATGTCTTTATTGTTTGGATCCTTGTACTGTTTTACTAAAACGGTTTGGCTTATTTTAAGCTAATGTACTTCCAGGATTTTTGCTGTTTTGTATCCTCATTGTTGATTGCACTTATTGTACATCACTGACACACTAAATGAAATGTAATGTTATCTGTCATAATTTTTCTCTAGTATTGTATACGCCCCCTTGTTTTTGTGTGGTAAGTTGAACTTAGTTTGAATTACTTTTGTTTGCCCTCACTGTATATATTGCATAGTATCCTGCTTCATATCCCCACCTGGCTCTTGTCCCTCTGAATGCGACGGAAGCTCTTGCTCAGCGACAGGTTGTGTCTGACAGAGTTCCTCCAGCCTCCGGTGGCCGTCCTGTAGTAGGGGAAATTGTTCACTATCCAATCGTAAATGTCCTTAACTGGAAGCCTCTTGTCAAGTGAGTCTTCTATCGCCATGAAAATCAGACTACTGAAGGAGTATGGTGGTTTGGACATGGCAGGAGAAAGAGGTTGGGTAGGTGTGAAGGACTCAAGCTGAGGCAGCGTTGTGATTTTGGGAAGGGGCTGCAGTGGGAGCAGGTTGCCCCTCTGATGCAGCCAGTTGAGGCAGGTCAGGTCGTCCTGGTCAGGGACAGTCGCTGTGCTGAAGCACTGTATGTTTTGTCCTTCAAGGCCCTGAGACGCTGTGCAGTGTGAAAGAGGCGAGAAAGAGTGGAAAGACTCTGCTGTTGCTGGAGAAAGTGAGGAAGGGGACGGGGGGAAAGAAATCGGTGAAAGTGGGAGGGAAAGACGACCATTAGAGCAGCCGGTCTGCTGCGGTGAGGACGAGAAAAGCAGGGACCCTCCAAAAGTAGAAGTACATGGTGACGAGGGCGACAGCAAGTGAGAGCTATTCTCCATCTCTCTCCCAGGAGAAAACATCCAGAATCATTCAGCTGCTGGAAGAAACGAGAGAAATGAATCCCAGTTACTGCTGGAAAATTGTTTTCATGAAAAGTTGGCTCTAATAGCTGCACTTGTATCTTATTCAGTATCCCTAATGTTTTTTCTATAAACATCTCTTGCCTTTTGCCTTTCGGGTAATCAATCAATCAATCAATGTTTATTTATATAGCCCAATATCACAAATGTTACATTTGTCTCAGTGGACTTCACAGTTTGTACAAACTGTTAAATAGTCAATAAGGACCAAACTAAATGAATATTTGCTTCCTATGACCACGACTACTACTACTACTAGGACTACTATTAGTCCTACTAGTTGTACTCTGATATGTACTTAAATCCATTCATTATTTATCTAAAAGTAAGCAACTTTGCATTAAGGATTCACGTCAACTCCAGCCCAATTTATTAATAAAGCCAACATTACAAATCATTAAGGCTTTACAAAGCATTTGACTTTCACCAAACCCAAAAAATGACCTTTCAAAACAAAAACAATAATTCAGCAAGGTCCAACAAAACTGATGGAAAAATGCTGGAAAAATGTTTCAGTTAAATGTTAGCTATCGGTTCCCCTCTGATGAGCATCCTCTAAACGTGCAAAGTCCACTTAGTGCATAATCTTCTAACACTCTCACGGTCAGGTACCTTTGTCTTATAGGCACAAAACCTGTCCGGTGAACAGGTGCAAGTCTATTAGAAAGTAATTGTTACTCTAATTCAAAGTACGCTAACGTTGATTTAGTGTGTTTAACACAATAATTATACCATTGTTGGCATGTACAATCTAAATTATAATGCTCTGAAGGGTTGTATGTGATGCCAGCCACATGGCTCTACAATGCAGTTCAGGAGGCAAATGGCGGAACAATATAAAGTTTCATATAGACAAGAAAGCCGCCTTTTCCCCCTCAGGTGATGTTACCTGGTTCAAAATGCATATTATTAACTAGTTACTCACCAATTTTCAATAACGATGACCCTGGCAGAACACTTCTCCTTGAATGTTTAAAAAAAGAAAGCCTTTGAAGAGTTAAAGGTGAAGTCGTGGTGTTTAAAACTGGACTCGGAGTCGGACACTCTCCCTCCTTGTTCTGTTGCCGTCTGGGGTCTCCATGGAAACCGAAAGGACGCTTTGCACTGTGCGCGTTGCCGTGCGCGCTCCCGCAACTCACGTCCACCACCATCAAGTGGTCATAATGCAGCAGGAGCAACACCTATTGATCGTTTACATTCTTCCGATTATTGTTTTTTACATAAACGGTTTGGTCTATACAATGTCAGAAAACAGTGAAAATGTACATTTGTAGATGAAGTCCGAAGTTCTTCTCACAACAGAAATAATTCACATGTTGCCCTAATCTGTTCATTCCAGTTCCTCAAAGTCCAATGGGATGTTTTTAGATGTCTTTGTTTTGTCAGCACAAAACCCAAAGACATTCATTTGAACATGAATACAACAGATGCAACAAATACAGAACTAGCTTTAGAAACTTTTCAAATCGAATACACAAAGCTTAATATATTTATTTTTTTCTACAAAAATCCAAACATTGTCATGCTTTTTCAAATGTATTTAAATAAAATTCAGGACTTACAAGAGAGATAAAGCAGCAACATTACCATACCAGAAAATGGTACTTGACTCATGTGTGCAATGTGAGTTTTATGTCTGTGGGGTGAGTTTATTGTTGCATGAAAATACTGTAAATCATGTCATGGGACATTTTATAAAAGGGAATTAGAACTGAATTTGAGTTGAGATTAAACACATCTCACAATGAAAGCCCTTGTTTTCAAAGTTAGATGGCCAAAAATAAGCATTTGTCAGAGTTACTGTACACTCATGGAGAAAAACAACTTTCACTGAGACATTTTCTGTGTCACACTTTGTGGTTAAATCAATGAAGCCTTTTCATTAATCAACATGTTTATCTGACAAGCTCAACACACACTGCAGTTCAACACCATCTACATTTGTTTTGAGTTTACCAACAAAAGAGTGTATAAAGGCAGGAGTACAAACACTCAACAACCAAATGTTTTGGGTCCAATACACTTGGATTTCAGGTGAAGAAATGCTTCACGGTCACCTGACCAAGTGAGAGGTTAACCAATATATAATGATGGGCTGAAACACTGCAATCACTACAGTGATGTAAAGACGGAATTGAGGTTTGGCACTTGATCCGGTTCCCATGGAGTCCGTGGAGGGAATGATCTTCATTTTCAGAGATCGAACCTGCGAAGACAGAAAAATATTTAAGGCTACACTTCAGGTATCATCCATTATTAACCATGGACCAGGTCTACTGTAAACAGGTATATGTCATATCTGTAAAGGTTTAAAGTTGTTTACAGTTTGAATATGTATAAAGCTGTGTTAATGTTTTATATATTGTATTCGTATTTTTGTCTTGTTTCTTATCTTGTTTTATTGTTATTTTAAACTTTTTTCCCTTTGTTTTTTTTATTCCTGAGCTGCTGTAACAAGCTAACTTACACTGTTAGGCATCAAAAAGATTATGATTTTATAAAAATGCTAAACAATGAGTCATCACAGTGTATCTTTAACACATTAGTATATTTAATATTTTGATCATCAAAACCAGATACACAGGATTTGGTAAACGCTTTAACATGCATGTTCAGTTTAAAGTAATAAGCTGAAAGTATTCAAATGTATTTTGTTTTCTGATTAGGAAAAAAACCTTCTTCATTTAAGATTTGTAAATATAGTTAATACTTACAAGGAAGAACATAAGGGCACAAGAGGACCAGGCAAGGGCCACATAGTAACCATCGCTGCCAAACAGTAAGCCACACAACACTGTGAAGATCATCCTAGAGGAGAAGCATAACAAAAGTTATTTAATATGAATTCATGAAGCATTTTGAATGCGTTATTTACAAAGGTACATTTTTAACAACTGAGCTGACTTTGAATAAACTCATCTTTAATGTAGCAGTTAAGCAGTTTGGTTTTATTACACAATAAGTTGGAGCTTTGGTAAAAATCTAACCCTTACACTTACTTGCTTTGTAAAATATAATCATAAGCATCTTAAATATAACACAATATTTACCCGACATATTTGTATCCACTGTAGGCGATGAGATCAAATGTTGACAGGTCGCTGTGCACCGTCAGCAGGTACAAACTCAACAGCATCACCAACACCTCGATGATGACCCACACGAGGGCGGTGCTGGCACACAGACCAAGAACCTCGGGACTGAACCTTCACACAGAGACAATCCTTATTAAACTTTAAATACATATTTACTGCAAGTCATAAAGAAAATGAAATATGGAAAAATAACTTACCGTTTTTGAATGCCGAGGGCCATTCCAGCAAGTAAAATGTAGGTAATGAAAGCCATCGCTAAAAGACAAAAAGTACAGTTAATGCACTATACAGGCATCAGAAAATCCTCTGTCACTGATATTTTTTGTATTTATAGAAAACGTACTTGGTATGTAGAGATCTGGTGCGTTCACATCCTGTCGTGGAGGCAGTGGCGTGTCCCGATGGTAACGCACTTCCCAATCCTAACAAGAACACAAATACAGAAGAGGCTGTCGTCAGTAAAGCTCTTTAATCTGAAGGGTCTACAAGATGGAAAAACTTTGTTTGTATTAAACAATCAAATGGAAACTAGAGAATAACTTTATGGAAGTTAATTCAAACAAGATTAAAGCTCAATGATAAATTAGGGCTAACAGCAGTCCTAGAAGATCGATAAAAGCACACATTAAGTTAATACAGACTATTACATAGCACTTAAAATATGCTCTTGAAAGAAAATATGGCATCTTAAAAAGAATAGACATCTAAAACCAAATAATGAAGAAGAAGATAAGAAGGGAAACTGGAAATAGATATGTCACATTTTTTATTTTATATTAACAGTTCACATGATACACAAGTATGTGTTATGGCCATTTTTAGATATAATTTGACTTGAGCCATCTTTGTCTGTTATATTTTAAATGATTATGGTAATTATTCTTGTCTGTACATATGTGTACGTATATGTATGGCCTTTTGTCACCCTTGCCTTACGAGGTCTGTGTAGTTCGGTCATTATCAGGGCACAGATTGTTTGGGCCTGGGACTTGATTAACAATCTCAATAAGTTCAAGTGTGTGGGAACTAACTGAGCTTCGTGCACTTTCCCACCCTGACAATCACGCCATCATGATGTATAAATGAAGCTGGAGTGGTGATTAAGTGGCTGATTATCTTGTTTGCATGGTTTCAATGAGATATGTGGGTGTAAATATGATACCAGGCAAAATTATCAAGCAGTTATGTACAATATTAAATGTTTTGTGTTGTCCTGAATGCTGTAGGACAAAGTCTGAATGGCTGTGATTACCTGATGTGTGTAGGGGAACATGAGGATCATAAGTTTCTTCAACACATATCTGGTGTCAACGGCAAAGAAGTATTTCAGCTTGTTCACAGACATGAACTTGCTGATCTGAAAGGCAAAGGAAGGGCAAACATTAACTTAGCAGATGAAGAGTGAAAGTCTGCCAAAGTTAATAAATACAGTTGAGTCATGGTATTCTTTAAAAAGGAGCCTTTGACCGCCCTTAGCACTGTGCAACACCCAGTCTATGTAGAGTTACTAATCCGGCAGATCCACATCAGTTTAATGAAACTGCTTTCCACATGCAATACATTTACTTTGTGAGGACCTACCCTTTTTCTTCGGTGAGTTAATTCACAGACGGTTTCTCTTTATTAAAAGGCAAACCAGAAATGTGTCTGCTTTATTGAAAGACCTGTCCACTTACAATGACTCCCCTTAGTAATTATGTTTAAACCCAGTATTTCTGCACAGCTGCAAATAAAGACGAGGCTGCACTTATATTAATAGTGTTGTCATTTTTGGACAATTGATTCGAGCGGTTCAACCGTGTAAATGAAAGTACACATCAATGTGATTCTATGTTGAATAACTTTAATTGACCAACTTGTTACCTTTTTGGACATAAATTAAATAAAATGGCACAAGAACACCTTTATGGAGGAAAACGTTGACTTTGCACCCGTTTAGACCTATTATTTTATCACATTGTGTATTTGTGGTTCATCTACACCTGTATTAAAACTGTCAACTTGAGATTGAATCACCCAAGATATATTTTTGTGGTCGAAGTCTATTATTTATCAAATCTAGGACTTTACCTTATTTATAGGTTACTGGGTTAAAACCCCCATAAAAGTAGAAATGAATATCCTTGTTTTCCTCACCTCCTTGTTCACCATATCTTTTCCTGTGTTTGCTAAAGAGGAGCCGTACATCATTGCAGCGTTGGCCATTGGGTCAGCAAACATGTTGTTCGGCCCAGCGCCCCCTTGCATGTCATTTTGGGGTCCTGCCATATTGTACCCAGGAGTGTAGTATCCTTGACTGTTCATTGCTGGTGCTGCAGAGCTGGTGTCATCAAACAGCACAGAGTCTGCTGTGGGGGGGGCTGCACGAGCTCTCGGTTTAGCTGTGGAAAGGAAAAACACAACGGATTACAAAGAGGGTATTTAATAAGCATCAAACCTTGGTGATATTCATGTATTTACCAGCTTATTATCCACAATATCAACTATAACCTGAACTTAAATCATTTAATTTGTCATATATATCAATAGATGAATATGAGTGATGAGCAAGATAATGAGAGAAGCTCCTGCAACAAATCCTATTCAAAAAGTTGTGGTTTGTGTACCTATTGTTTTATCCTATTGGTCATTCAACTAAATGTACAGTTTTAGAGGCTGTCATTGTGATACTTGAATTGTAATGCATTGGACTGGTCTTTCTAATATATTTTCCAAACCACGTAGATCAATTAAGGTGGACTATAATACACCTAAAGCAGGAAGAGATTAACTTAAGCTCAGTGTGTCTAGCTGTAGTTGGTAAGAAAATAGGAAGTAGAAACCATGGACGGATATTTGTCAAATTTTTCACAAAAACGTTAACTCTTAGTAATACGGTGATTCATGAAGGTTCCACTTACTTGCTCGGTACCCCTGTTGTGGCAAGTCCATGTTGACGTTTGCTG